CGGCCCAAACCTAAAACACGATCACAAACATAAAACAAACACAAACAAACAGACACATAAACAGGAAAACTACTATAAAAAAGAGGAGCCCTCCCCCAGCGAGCAGACAAATAAAGCTAGAATGACATTTAAAAAAAATAGGAGGGAGTAATATTTATGAATATGTTTAAAAATTTAATTTTGAATTTCAAATAGAGTAGAAGATGGAATAATTCAAATTTGTTTTCAAAAAGTTTTTAAAGTGTTTAATATTCTGGTAAGTATACCCGTAAGAATAATCTTACTGTTTTAATTTCAAAAATCTTGGCAAGTTTGTTAATAAGATAAATTCAGTTAGACAAAAGATTAATTAGTTAAAATATTATATTAATTATATTTTAAAAATTCCAGTTAATAATTGTAATTGTATTAATTGGTTTGTTAGGAATGTGATTATATGGAAGTTAAGACAAAATGAACCCAAAAAATTTACTTAGGATCGTTTTCAATAAATGTTTGAATCTAAAATTTAAAATTTGAAACTCGATTATATCACATAAGGAAAAAATAAATAATAAACATTTATTAATATATGAAAATATGTAATTTTGAATTTCATATAAAGTAAAAGGTATGATAATTCAAATTTATTTTTAAAATAAAAGCCATGATAAACATTTATTGTTTCTCTTTCAAAATATTAATAAATAAAAATATAAATCTAAACAATTTTAATAAAATTGAATGTACCCAAAAAATCTGTTTGTAATCTTTTCTTTAAACAAAATTGTTTTTAATTTTAAACAGAAGATAAACATAATCAGTTGAAAAAAAAGGAAGTCACATATATTGCTAAAATAAAAATCTGTTTTCCCAAATCAAAAGGTACTTGAATTTATTCGATATGGAAGGAATCTCATCCAAAACATATTGAACTCATCCAAAACATATTGAATTTCGGAATGAAAAAATTTCGAACTTCTGAAAAATTTTCAAACAAAATTTTAGGGGGAAAAAAATGATTTGAGCGGTAAAATGAATTAATTTTGGAACATTTTTTCTTCTCTCTATTATATAGTAATAGATTATACCAGCATTTTATGTATATAACAAATTTTAATATTAAAAAATTTGATTGGATACCAAAAAAAAAAGCGACCAAATATTCGTTTACAACTTTACAGGCAAAAATGCAAAAATAAAAAAATTCGCATATAATGGTAAAAGATACCCCTAAGAGACTTTATTTCACCACAATACACCACCATTTTATGTATATAACAAACTTTGATAATAAAAATTTAACTTTGAGAGGAAAAAAAAAAACGATCAAAAGTTCATGTACATCTTACACGTGAAAATGCAAAGATATAAACACACATAAAACACGGGAAAAAAATCCCCCTAAAAAAGATTTATTTCACCACAACACAACACCTTTTTATGTGTATAACAAATAGTAAATTTAGTTCTGAGCGAAAAATAAAACGACAAAAACAGTGAATAGTTGTAAAAGTAATAAATACAAAATAAAAAAAAGGTAAAAAATGGTAAAAATACCCCAAAAACACTTACTTTCAACAATGTACACTATCATTTTATTTTTTAATATAATAAAAATATATATTTAAATATATTTGACATATATATACATATAATTGACAAGTCCGATCAACCAATTCTGACCGGTTCATCGGAAACCAGTTTGTTCAAAGTAATCGAAGCGTTTAGTTGCTCGATTCTCAATCCAAAAGCCAATTTAGTCTGATTTTCAAAACAATAATATTCAAAATTATTTTTATTTTATCTTTGAAATTTATTAACCTCAACAGTTATGTTTTTTTATTTATACTACCCACTATAATTATAACAAAACCAAATAATTATTAATAGGAATAGAAATATATTTATTATTTATTTAAAATTATAGCTTAAAATATAGAAAACATTGTATAGTAGTTAAATATTTTTTATAAATTTTTTTTTGTCTCAAAACTAAACATTTACTATCAAATATTGTTATATACGTACAACGTCAAGTTGCAACAAAAAAAAAAGTAAATAAATGTATTTACAACATTTGAGACCAAAGTTGCAACAAGTCAATCATATGGGCTGAATTTTCAATTTTTTCATTGTCAACCTAACGGCATGGAGTTGGGACCAAATATGCCCCAAAAAAAAAAAAAAACTATAGGAATTGATGGGGCAAAATTTAGTAACTGCCATCTATTAAACAGTGCATTACGTAGATACAGAGCCGTGTGTAGGATTCCAAAATTACCAAAATTAATTTAAAAAGGCGTGATTTTGAATTACATAATAAACTAAAAGCTGTAACTGCAAATATTGCCGGTGGTTTTTTCTTCAGTTTCCTATCCTAGAACAACCATAAAATAAACAAATTTAAGAAGGAAGTTAATTTTGGGAAAAGAAAAAGCCTGAAACAGGGAAAAACAGAAGCAATTGTGAAGAATTAAGCAACTAGTTTGGAACAAATTGAAGCCTCAAAAAGCATCAGGCAAGTAAAGTTTACTTTTGTTTACTTTGCAAATTGTTACTGTTTTTGATAAAAGCATGTCCTGCTTTTTTTTTTTATTATTATTTTTCTTACGTCAACAAAGGAAAACATGAATAGAAAAAAAAAATCAACAATGTAAGTAAAGCATGTCCTGTTTTTGTATAGTTACAGTAAAAGCAACATGAGAAAAAAAATAATGAATATGTACAGCAATAGAAGTTTATTGTTTTTTTTTCTGAGATTTGTTA